GCATATGGTACTGGCAAACTTCAAATAATTGAACAAAACAAATAACTTCATTTCTGGACATTTATGGTTTGATTTCTTTGTATGTATGGATCACTTGGGTTGTTACCAACATCTGGTGAAAATTTCATGTCATTAGCACCTCTAGTAATATATTTACTGAGAAAAATGGTGACATGTTCAATARTTATTTTACCAGCTGTACATTAGAAGTGCCACGGCTAGCTGAATACTGCTGCTAAGGCAAATAACCAGAGAACTCAAAGTAAATAAGCTTGCATTGTAAAACTGACAAGAACTCTTGTCTTTTCATCTCTAATCTGTCTGGACTAGTCATTAGTGGCCAGAGGTCATCCAAAGAGCTATCTACAACAGGTAAGACATTAATTGTTCATGACCTTTCCACAGAACCCTACCTAAAAGGATCTGAGCTATTCCTTTTACTGTAAATTTGACTTACTTCCCTTGTTTTCTTTTGACAAAGTTCCACATACAATGTACATAACTAAGTTTTATTCTCTCGACCTTCAGAGGTTGTGTTTTTAAGTCTGTGTACGTCCACGTATTTTAAATTACGATCGGTAGCTGTGAATGATGACTGTGTTTGTCCTGCTTACTGGCGCCGTTTGTTGCACGAGGCCAACTGCATGATGTGGGCGGGAAAAGTCTCTCGCTTGTGTTTTTATTAACGCAAGAGTCTTCAACAAGCAGCTCTCTATAGATCTCTGAACATACTGTGACTGATTAAAATTAAAACTGCACAGCAAAGAAGCAGATGTCTTTTTTTTTAATCCATGGTGTGCTGCAGAAGTCGAGATTTGYAGCTTTTCAGAGATTAAACCTAGAATTTCAGCCTCTCCCTGATCTTCACAGTTTTTAAGGCTGAGCTGAACTGAAAAACAGAAAAATAAAATCTTGTTTTAAGAATTGAATATATGCCAAAGATAATAGTTAGAATTGGACACCAGGGAAATCTTGGAAAGAATTATGCAATTAATTTTTTTATCCAAATGTGTTGAATGTAAGTAAAAACATGAGTGCATTTGCAAACTGATAAAGCAAGTTGATGTTTTCTGCAGGATGATCATCAGAATAGATACGGRTGACTCACGTGTCTCTTCTTCTGGCTTTAAAAAATAAAAACATTACATAAAGCAGGGATTAATATAACTGCTCAGCTCCAGAGAGGCTGAGTGATTTACTGAAGTGGGATGAGGGAGAAAAAAAAACAACTCCCATCTCACATGTTCTCACTCTGTGGGAGTGTAGCTGCACTGAATACCATCACTGCTGTTTATCTGAGGAACTAACATCAGGTTTAAAAATTGGTGAATTGTTTATAGATTAAAATGCTCCCTGTTAGCACGACTTCAATTAAATTTTAAGATTTCTGAGGGCGAGTTTATTCAGTTGAAACAGTGGAAATGGAACACTGTTGCCACCATGTGGTGACGACTGAAGGGTATTGATGTGGCCAAAAGTTGGGATCCTAAAGGTTTTGCTCATTGTGCAGCTGCAGTTTAGGTCTCATGAAACTCAAATTGTTTCTTTTTAAAAGAGCTTCTCTGGCTTCCAAAGTTGAAAAAAAAAAACCATTTTCATTTGTTTTTACCCACCTGTCGTTCTTTGAAGAAATATGTCTATATTATATGAGTCAGAAGCCTCAGGACATTTATTTTAGACACAAAAGGAACAARGAGATATCTGAATATCCCAGCAAGTACTGGGTGATGGGACTATTTTTTAGGCTATGTCCGGAACATGGCCACCACCTTGAAAGCCACCATATTGGATCAAGGGCAGGTTTTTCAAACGATAGCCCACCTCATTACTCGAATATTCAGATGCAATTATGTTATTTTTCCTTTTCTTTCTGAAATAAAAGGATGTCCTGAGACTTTTGACTCCCATCTTTCTGCAAGTTTCCAGTTGTTCGTAAAATAATTTTGTAACAGGAACAACCAGATCATATGGGCAAAACATTATTGCACCCTTTTGTCAGTCGTGTTGCTTTAAATCGTGGCCTAGCAGTAGTTACCTTCAAAGAAAGGCATCTATTCTGTTGCTTTGCATCAAAGTTGCCCCACTATTGAAAGGAACTGATGTTGAGATGATTGCACCTGAAGGAAGAGTTCTCTGGATCATTGAGAACACTATGGTGGGAAGTTTAGTTGCTGTGAAAAAGGTTTCAGGAAGATAATCCAGGAAGCACCAGGATGCTCCTGGAGCAGGTGGATGTGAGAGCAGCTGCCTGCACAGTGAGACTTCTGGACAACAAAAACAGTCTCAGACTCAAATTCTGCAGGAAGTACAACAATTGGACACTGAAGGTGTGCTTTTACTCACAAGGAATCCATGTGAGTGTGACGTGTATACAACCCCAACTCCAATGAAGCTGGGACATTGTGTAAAACAAAAACAGGCACCATTAACGCTGAAAGCTACACACAGGTTTTGGAGCAACAAACACTGCRAACCAAGCCACATCTTTAACAGGGACGTCCTGTCTATTTCAAGGCCCTGTCACACAACATTTTAAACTTATATATGGATATTTAAATAGTGTGTGGTGTCATGATACATTGCCTTCCCAGCCACACAAGAACAGGAACTGTCAGCACAACAAGTACTGTCTCATGCAGTGTAAGCTGAAATACAGAACGAGCTTTAGACACGTTTTTAAAAACAATGTTTAATGCAAAATAGCCTAAGCCTTGTGCTCAAAAGCAGTGTAAAAGTCAGCTGAATAGGTAACACATTCTCACTCCCGACTCGTCAACATATTGATGCTTTTCCAAAGTTCCCTCTGCGTCTTATTTTGACGCGTCGGGTGACCCCCTCGCGTCAGTCCTTGCCGCCCGCCACTTTTCCGGGTTGCTCCGTCGGGGGTCTGAGGTTAACATGAGGAATCAGGATTAATAGTTAAATTTAGATACTGGGGTCAGGGATATGATGTCTACAGCGAATATTAGGTAATTTTAGGCTTTGGAACACGTAGTTCACGTGAATTTCCTACATTTTCTAAAAAATAGTTAATTTTAGGTATCAGGGTTAATGGTTAATTTTAGGTACTAGGGTCAGGGACAGGAGGTCTAAAGTGAATAAAGGTCATTTTAGGCTTTGGAACGGTAGTTATTGTGCATTTTCTACACTTTCAGAAATTATGACAACAGGTTCCACCCCTTCTAGTCAAAAAAAAAAAAAAAAATGACGCAAGCAGAGCACCTTTCTAGTCTTTGGTCAAGGACTTGTGATGCTAGTTATGAGTTATTGGCGACCTTCCATCAAAGTTTGTTATGTAAGAACAAACATAAAATTTGGAGCCTTTATCCATTAAGCTCTGTGGAGCTGAGCTTGAGAAACGAACAGTGCGTCTTACATCATTCACAGAAATTTTGGGAACTTCCAACTAACAAGGAATGAACCCAAGACACAGCCATGTCTTTCAAACGCTCCGCTAGAGTCCTCTCTGAACCGGAAGTTCCAATGKCCTGCCTAATGATCAAACGCGGAAGTGAAGTGAAAGAGCTTCCAGACATTGTTCATTTCCTTTAGTTTTGAAAACAACTATCTGTTCCATTATTTATTTTCATTGATTCGAAGAGAACAGTAGGCTTTATATAATATTTAAAATTATCAATGAGTGGTACAGTCCGGCCACCTAAACCCACCCACTCCTCACGTCACATTGGTACGGTCCGTTTTACAAACGGGCGCGAGCAAACTTAGTCTTCACCACTTTTTTCTTAGTTTTGAAAACAGCTATCTGTTCCATTATTTTTTTCATTGATTTGAAGAGAACAGTAGTACCATACATATATACAGTATAAAGGCTTTATATAATACATAAAATTATCTATGAGTGGTACAGTCCGGTCACCTAAACCCACCCCCTCGTCACGTCACATTGGTACGGTCCGGTTTATAAAAGGGCGCGAGCAAACTCAGACGTCCTTTCACCACCGTTTTTAAACAGTTCAATGTTTGAACAGTCGGACAGAAACATCTCCAGAAAAGCAACTTAAAATGGTAAGGACCTTCTTCTTTCAGGACTAAACTATATTAAATGTCGAATTTAATTCTTAAGCTAAATCTTTTTCTCTGTATTTCATGATGTGATTTGTTGCAGTAAGAGTTCGCGCCGTAATCGAGGCGGAAGTTGGCTTCGTGCGCGCCATCTTTAAATCTGCTTTGAGTCGGAACCAGAACAGCTCAAGCATTTTAAACCTGAACTAAACTATTCTAGGATTAAAACGGAAACTGTAGAACATGCAGAGTAAATTATCTATTTGTTTTTATAAAAAAAACGCAACTCAATATTTTATTTTTATTTACCCAGTTTCCCTCTGGGATCAAAGTATTTTTGAATTGAATTACATTTAGAAAAATAGAGGTTAATGTTGTTAAACTAAAATGTTGATTTTTCCCCCCCTCTCTGCAGCGTGAATGCATCTCTATCCACGTGGGCCAGGCAGGTGTCCAGATTGGAAATGCCTGCTGGGAGCTTTACTGCCTGGAGCACGGGATCCAGCCTGATGGCCAGATGCCCAGCGACAAATCCTGTGGACGAGGAGACGATTCCTTCAACACCTTCTTCAGCGAGACCGGAGCTGGGAAGCACGTCCCCAGAGCCGTCTTCGTGGACCTGGAGCCCACAGTCATCGGTACCCKTCATCCACTTGGCCTAGTTGTTTCTGCTAAATGCTGCCTGTGTATTAACTCTAGTTGTGTTTTTCTGCAGATGAGGTGCGTACTGGAACCTACCGCCAGCTGTTCCACCCTGAGCAGCTGATCACTGGTAAAGAGGATGCTGCAAACAACTACGCTCGTGGTCACTACACCATTGGAAAGGAGATCATTAACCCTGTTCTGGACKGGATCCGCAAACTGGTGTGTAAAGTGACCCAGTCAATGTTTTGTCTTGTCAGTGCTGCAGAGATCCTGTTGTCAGTTGGGAATGCTGATTCAGCATTTTGTGACATCAGTTTGAGTCCAGGTTTCCTTCAACACCTGTCCCTTGTGTCCTCAGGCGGACCAGTGCACCGGCCTTCAGGGCTTCCTGGTCTTCCACAGCTTCGGTGGAGGAACCGGTTCTGGTTTCACCTCCCTGCTGATGGAGCGTCTGTCTGTGGACTACGGCAAGAAGTCGAAGCTGGAGTTCTCGGTCTACCCAGCTCCTCAGGTGTCCACAGCTGTGGTGGAGCCGTACAACTCCATCCTGACC